GGTGAGGGCGGGGGTCGGTGCGGGGGCGAGGTGGGGTGTGGTGCCGGGCCGGGGGGGGCGGCACAGCCCTGTTCAGGCTGGGTGGACGGAGGTATGGGAGGGCTTGCGTTGGGCTGGAGGAGGGGGTGCTGCTCTGTACCTTATTAAGCGGTGCCGGCGTGGGGGGGGGTTTGCACCGGACCGGGGGGGGTTGCATGGCGTTGGGGGGAGACATGCGCTCCGTCTTACAGCTCGGTCCTCCACCGGTAGAGTGCGTGTGCGCTCCCGGCGCGGGGATCCCGTCCTCTCTAGGGAGAGCTTCCGGGGCGCTCTATGGCACGGGCCCGCCGGCCCGGTCGCCCCCGCGGAAGCGTCCCGGCAGCCATGTTGCCTGCGAGGGGAAGTGGCGGCCCGGAGCCCCGCTAAGATGGTGGAGAGGAGTCGTCGGGGGGTGTAGGGGTCCCCCCACCCCCTCGACCCCGGGCCCATGGAGCAGCTATAAGGGTGAGCCCGCCGCGGGAAGCCGGAGCTCGGGGGCGTAGCGCTCCGGTACCGAGCAGGCCGGACCGGGGGAAGCGGGGAGGGTGGCGGGGACCGGGGTGAAGGCGGCTGAGGAGCCAAGAGCGAGGTGCGGTGGGGGATCCGGAGGTCCCCGGGAGCGCAGGTTCGGCAGAAAGCTGCCCGTTCTCGCCCCCCGGCTGGGCCCGCGGTGGCGGCGGGGAAGGGGCCTGGGGGAGCGGGAGCCTCGCAGCCGGCCTGTGACACCGAGGGGTTGCGGGTGCGCCTTTACAGCCAGAGGAGCGGTGGCTGGGTCCTGCCTTGAAAGCGTTTCTGCTTGCAAGCTACCTTCGTGGGCAGAAAAAAAGCCCCTACCCATAAAAATCAAGTGTCAAACCTGAGATGCAGACCTTCCCGTTTGACTGAAGTCGTGTGTCAGTAGCGTCATCCCGCTGCCTGCAGCAGTGCTGTGCACCGTTCGCTTAGTTGTGTTGGGAGCACAGCGAGGTGTCTGTCTTCATAAAGTCATGGCCTGAGAGCTGTCATTCAGAAACATGCTTCCAAACTTTAAGTATTACTCTTAAGTCTTTTTCCTGCTGAACACTTTTTACGGATATCTTACTGTTGTCTGACAGCTTACAGTTTGCAGTTAGCCGGTGCTTATACCATCTGTTCCAGTAATAAAAGGAGATGCAACAAGTGTTTCTGCATTATTGCATATTTTCCAGAGCACACTTTTTGCTTTCTAATCTTTTGGATACTTAGTGGTTATGGGCAGCATTTGGAGTAAAATTTTCAGAGCAATGCGATATGCCCTGACTACAGCAGAGAGCCGACTGGGACTGTTTGTTGCCATGTGTCATCTTTTACACCATGATTTTAACCTTAAATGCTGCCATGCTTTTCCAGGGCAAAACACTGCCAGAGGCTGCGCAGTTTAATGGTTGGAAGTAGCTGCTCTAAGTGCGATATTAACAACAAGGAGGTATTTTCAGGGAGGGATTAATAACTCAAAGATCAGATGTGTAATGTTTCTCACTTATTAACCAGATAGACTTTAAAAGATGATCCCTAGTTTCTAGGCTAATCAGTTCTGACACATCCTGCCTGGGGTAGTGCAGAATTTAGAGATGTAACGCTCACTGGGTTAAAAAGAGCTGAAATAAACCTACAACTATCCAAGACTTAAATGTGACAGAAGCAGAGTTTGATAGATGCAAATTATGAACTTTTAGAGAAGATAACAAGTGAGATTGAAAGGGCCACTGAAAGATGAACACAGTGCTGTTTTAAGAACTTTGAGTTGTTTTTGCTCTGGTTATCTGTTCATTTAATGCTCTCCAGCAGCACCAAGCTACTGTGTTGCCAGCGTAGGTGGCCCTGCTCTAAGCAGGGCAGTGTCGACTGTTTCTGCCAGGTAGGTCAGGTGCCAAGCAGCGCCCTGCATTCCATGTATTGCTAGGAGACTGCACAGGAAATGTGCTGATGAAAAAGGGTTAAAATTCATATCCCTAGGGCCTGCTTCTTCAGAATTGTACTGTGGACTTTGTGTGGCAAACAAACGTGTAATAGGACTTTGAGTGAATGCCTATATATTTAGCAACTGTTAGGAGTAGAGCGAAAGCACCTAGATGTTCAGCAATATGCATACTCACAAGTGAAACATCACGCAGCTAGTCCTGCTGAAGATGTGATTAAAATAAGGGCTTTTCTCATTTTTCACTGCTGCAAAAAATAGTTATTAGCTTCAGTTTGACTCATAAGTTCTAAAGTACTTGGCTCAATGCTAAGAAGAAAGAAACTGTTCTGTGGCAGGAACAGTCATTACAGTCACTTCAGGGTATTATATAGCCTTTACCTGGTGAAGAAGCTTGTTTTCATGATCTAACTACTTCTTGCTCCATGGTTGAATGCATTAAAATAGTGACATTGATTTGACATTCCTTTAAGGAAGTATCCACTGTTGGGAAAAGCAACCCCGAGAAAAGCCCAATTTCATCTGTTAAACTAGAGGTAAATGGAAACAAGGGTGTGTGTGGTGGGGTGGAAGTGCTGCCCCATTCTGGACATCACCAGCAACAAATCCTGTCAGCGGCAGCTGATGTGGGGAGATTTGCAGAGCAATTTGCCAGTGTGCCTTTTTTAATTGCAACGATCAGCATTGTTTTTCCTCCTGCTTAACGTGTTTAGCAATAAAAAGAGCATTGCATAACATTTGTATTTGTTAACTACTAACATTTGTCAAAGGTTGGCTAATTTTGGTGTGTTATTGGCAGACCTTTGGGGAGCAGCACACAGTTCACAGCAGATGCATCATGTCAGCAACAAAACTCATGTCAGGTGGATTTCAGAATTAAAATGTTTTTTTGTATTAGAAGATCTGGATTTTACTCCAGAACAGTTGCCAAAAAGGAGCTCTTTAAATTCAGTGTTTCAGCTAAATATTAAAAATAGTAGCCCTGCCTTTTGTTGCCATCAGTAATACATTAAAGGACTTTTCCTTAGTGAAATCGGGCATTTCTCTGGATCCTTTTCCTGGGAGATGATATTTTTCCTGATTGAATGCCAATTCAATATCAAAGCAATGAATTAGAGCACTTAACTGAGCACAGGACAGCAAAAATCGAAGTCAAGCAGTCTATAAAGTGTGAAATCTGTTAAATCATGTAATTCACAGCCCAGTTTTCTCTCCTCCTGCTGCCACTTCCCAGCCAGAAGCCCCTAAATAACCAGCCAACACTTGCAAGGTCTCATGGAGTAACATGGTGACAAGGCACCGCTTGTTGGGAGGTGGCAGGGGAAGGGCAACTTTGCTGTTTCCTTGGCTGGCATTGTGCAGCTCTCAAAGGACATGTATGAACTTTTTGGGAACACAGTGATGTGATCAGGTGAAATGTGTGGCCCAGAGAAAGGCAGAAGCACTGTGACAGCATTGATGGAGATAAGGATGCAGTAAGGCATGGTGTGCAGGGAGGAGTAACGTTGCTGTCGCAGGCCAGGTGAGAGAGGTGGACAGAAGGACTTCCAGGCATGAAAACTCACAGGGACTCACACTGATAGGGACAAACCTAATTAGCTCTGACTCAATTGTCAGATTAGTGCTTGTTTAAAGTCTCCCCTCCAGGGCTGCTCTCTGCATGATACTGTACATGAGACTGCAAGCTTGTTTTCAGTAGAAATTTTGCTTTATTTGAAAGCATGAAAAAGGATGATACTGAGAACAAGACTTAAATGTCAGACCTTAACCCACTGTTGAAGTGAGCCATTACAGAGTCCACAGATATACCGAACAATAATACCTAGTTTACACTCCCTGCTGTGTTTTCACTTTGCACAGAAGCTAGAAACGGTATTCTTTCCTTAAAAGGAGAAGACTTTAAAACAAAAAAAAATGAACTTGAATTATAACTTTAGCTTCAACTTTTTAGACACTGCTTTCAAGAAAAGTCTGGGCACCCTATGCTTGCACTCCCTTCTGGGTCTGTTAAGATCTTTTGTCTCAAGCCTCTCCTTCTGCAAGCATCAAAAGCTGTGGTCTAGTGTGGTTTTGATCTCTTAAGAGAAGGAACTTTTACTCACAAAACAGACAGACGACTTGTTCCTGTAGTGTGTCTGACCATATAAAGTGTTCAAGTGGAAAAAATGGTTAGTTCATGACTCCTTTGTGATTCATGGTTTCCTCCGAGTCATTACTCTGGTCCAGTGTCATTTTCTTACATATATAGCTCTAAAGCTATAGAGGGGATAGTTTAGACACTTCCAGGGTTGTGAGGTAAACTATTTTGCATAAAATAGGTAGGAAAAATAGAGTTGCAGGGGAAAGTTAAATAGGGCACACTGAGCAAGAAGCTTCTTAGTTCTCTAGGAATTTCTACCATTTGTGTTTCTGGCCAGCCTGCGTACAGAGGATGGTAACATAAGTGAGATTTTCTGTCTTGGCAGGACAGTGACTGGTGGCTGCCTCCATAAATCTTGTGGGTATCTGCAGCCTAGACATGTTTTAGAGCCTGCATGCTTGGGAAGACAGCATTCAGTAATCCCGAGATTAATTTCTGATTAAAGGGAGTATTACTAAGAATCAGGCTTACTAAAAATACAATTTATCTGTAAAGTCTGGAAGCAAGGCACTAACTTGCCGGCCTTTCTCTAATAAGCTCAGTATTGAAACAGTTGAAGTGATCTTTTTAGTTGATTGTCTTAACCCAGGGGTAGCAGAGTCCCTTTCCAGGAATGCAGGGTGGAGAGGAAATCCACTGCTTTCTCTCGTTTTGGCTGTTTTTCACACCACCTCTAGCTCTTATCAGAAGCTGATGTGTTTAGCAACTCCCTGTCCTGATTAAATGAGTTGGAGGCAGGAGCGGTTTTTGAAAGAGCGACTCAGAGCCCGGAGCATCAGCAGGACCCGGAGCCCAGCCAGGCGTGGCAGAGCTCCTGGGGAGGCTTCACTTGAGCACCCTCGGGCTGCTGGAGTTGCTCTCCTGCACAAGGACCCGCAGACTCTCCTTGGCAGGAGCAGAGGCACTGGTGGCAGCGACTGGCCCATCCTAGTGATACTCCTTGTATCAGAGAAGTTCAAGGTTGGTAAGTTTATCTGCAGCTAGTACAAAGTACAGCTCAGCTTGTAAAGCGTAAAGGATCCTATGGGTAGTTTGTGTTGCAATGTGCTTGGCACTATCAGTTAGAAACCTTAGTTAAAATTTAAGACGCTGATAACATGGAAGTGATTTTAGCTGTTAAAAGTCACTTTTTTGAGTTACTACCTAGATCTGGTCACTATCAATGTTATTTACCAAACTTGAACATTTTATATGCTTTAATCAAGCTTTCCTAAATATTTAGAGAAGTGTTTGATCTTTGGAAATGATTTTATTCCTGATAGTGCCTTAGTTCTTATAGTGTTACATTTCTCTGAAGGATCAGAAGCCTCTAACAAAGTCATTTTAAGTCCCTTTTAATAGATGGGGAAGGGGAGGGATAGGGGTTCAATGGTTATCAGTGGTCTGTAACTTGAATTGGTGCTAAAGCTCATTTCTGTTATTGCTGCGGTTTCTGCACTGTCTGCAAGATAGATAGATGTTCAGTCTGTTTTGTCTACATCTAAAATGTTTGGTTACATTCCTCAGGCATAAGTCTGGTTATTTTGCTAGTATTCACTTTTTAACATAGCTAATCATACTGGCTCACATTCTGTATAACTGATGCAGTAATAACAAATTAATTTACTATATCTGGAAAATTCTGTGAAATAATTTAGCTATTGCTTTGAAAGTGTTCAGCCTCATATTTCAAAATCTAATTAAACTACTGCATGGGTTAAAAGTTGACACTTCTTCCAGATTCCACACAGTAAAAACTTTCCCAAAGCTGCATGTATGTAGGCAAATTCAGGGGCCACTCTTTTTAGCTCATCTCATGCTCTAGCCTTAAGGTTAGCAAAATGACAGTTGCAGGGCTTGTTTCAGTATTGCCTGCAGAAGTGCAACCAGATTCACATTGAAATGGAGATTTCATTGTAACTAGGTCCAGGGACACACAAGAGTTTTACAGGTATGTTGGTCTGAGCTTCAGTGCTGAGACTAAGAGCTCAAGACTTAAGTTCCTTCTCCAGCAGGGTCAAGTTACTTTTTTTCAGTGGCTAGGTAGTTTACATCATCTGTTCTCTTTAAATATAAAGAGGATTTCAAACCTGTTGTGTGAGGTAGTTTAAATTGGATTGTGCTGTGAACGCGAGTCATTACAGACCATTCTGCATACGAAGCTGTGCTCTTTGGGTGGATACTGAAACTGATAGGGCTTGACAAATTCAAATAGCTGCAGGACTTCCCCTTTTGTTCCTTTCCAGGAAAGGATCATTTCACCTGCTCACCCAGTAATGCTGTTAAAACTGTTAATTTATAGCCTGCATCTAGTCATTTGGGATGAAGGCTGGAGCAGCTGTAGCAGGTTTTCAGCTTGTAGAAGCAGGTGGGGAATGTGTTAATCTTTGCCATCAGCACCAGCTACTCCTTTTGGGCAATCAGGGGTGGGGGGTTGCTGTCTTGTGGAGATTTCCATTGTGGTTGATTGTGACTCAGCCTCTATTTCCCCACCTCTGACTCAAGAATTTCACAATGTTAAGAGTTTGCCAGTGGCCTGATGGAGACTGGCAGTTCCCTTGAGCTGGCAGGTCCCCAAGTTCCTCACCATGTTGTGCCATTCTTAGAGACGGGCAGAGTCAACGCATCCTCAGTGCCACAGCAGATCTGTCCCAGCTCTCACATGGTTGGTTGTCAGGCAGTGGGCAGCTGGATGCAGCTTGGGTAGGACAGAGCAGGTGAGGGGCACTAACATTATACAGCAGTCATTTAAGATATGCATGCAGGGCTAATTTTAAACACTGGTTTCCTGAAGCTTCTAAGAAGTGGAAGTGGTTAAACTCGAGACCAGGTTTCTAAGCTTAACTGGTACATGAACCTTCTCATTTATAGGTTTGTGCTAGAAACAGCTAATCACTGCCACAATGACATCTTCAAGCTCTGCCCAGCATCCAGCAGCTGAGAATGCCTGCAGAGTCACACTCGGACAAGTTAACCAGGTAATTATCTCTCCCACTTACCTTTTCTGCTTTCTCCTCACTAAAGCAGTGATTTCTTCCATCAAATCAAAGCTCTCCAAGTACAGGTAAGAAAGAAGAATTTAGCCTAATGGAGTAGGGCTTTTATCCTGAGGAGTTGTGTTAGCTTTCACTAACAGATCAATTATTTATGAACATTTTAAAGGGGGAGGAGGGGGAAAAAACCACAGTTAAACACTGCCATACAAGAAATTGTACAATACATATTTTTGTGCTGGGCATGTGCTTGAAGTATTCCACATACAGTGTTCTTCCTAGTGCTGGACTCTTTGTGACAGTTGTATCGGAGCTTTGTTAACCTTGTATGCTGAACTTTGTCTAGTCAGTAATGCATCACCATGCCCTTTTTTGGAGTCAGCTTAGGTAAGTATTGAACATGTAGTACTCCCATTATCGACTATTTCTAGAGTGTCCCTGGAACAAAAGGTAGTTGTAAGCTGTGAGCCAAAGCCAACATGGCAGGCGTGTGATTTGAGTATGGCTCAATACTATCCAGTGAGAGATTGACATCCAGTCAGAGAAGAGACATTTGCAAACAGGAACAGTAGAAATCTGATCTAAAAATCGGAAACGTTTCTCCAAGACAATTTCCAGAGCAAATTCATTGTGAAAAGCATCTCCACAATATGAGGGGATGTGGCAGAAGTGGAAATAAGCTGATGGGAAGATGAGAGCACCTCCCACTTGAGGCTTAATTTAGAAGCTTTGAAATGTAGCCAAGTCCTGTGCAGAATTGATGTATATGCTTATTTATTCAATTGACTTTGCATGAAAAAAATAAGTGAATAGGCTCTGATATTAGCAGCAGAATATTGATTGTCAACACTCAGTGTCCTAGGCAGCATGGAATAAACACTTCCATTTTGGCTGAACTGTAGTAGCTAAGGGCCCATTTTAAAATGATCAAGCTAACTAGGTTGCTTCTTTAATCAGAAAGAGATGTATAAGAAGTTACTTCAAATCCATTTGAGAGTGGTCATTAGAGAAATGAATGCATGCAAACACATAATGTCATCTTATTAAAAATCATGTGCTGATACAAGCACTGATTTGAGTAGTGCTGAGCTTCTTCCTAGTGAAAAAGCTGTTCTTGGGAAAGAAACTTGGGGCTGGACACAACCTGTTCTGTTTGAGCTTGAAAATGCATTTAACAAACATCATAATGAGCAAACAGGCAGACCAGACAGATTCACAGAGGAGATGAATTTTTTTACAATATTAGAAAATAGTGAAACAAATACCTTGCCAAGATGCTGTCTGGTAGCTGAGTTGACAAATTACATTCATGACAAGCAACCAAAACCTGCTCTCCTTACCCTGTGCAGGAAGATGGTGCTGCAGCTCAGACAGTCTCTTGAGGAAATGTTGCAGGGCTGCAAGCAGGCTCTACTTCTTAGGAAAGAAAGGGGATATTGCAATTGCATTTATATAGGCAGAAAGCAGGGGTGGGTATGAGACACAGGTGAACCCACCTAACATTGATAGGTGGAGGCCTTTACTAGCTAGCACGGATTACATGCCTTGAGAGGATAAGCCTTGTCAAAGTGTAGAGGAAACAGCATGAATATTGTGTGCTGAGCTGTACTAGCATCTGATAGATGAGAATAGAAGAAGAGACTCGGTGTGGGAAACACGTGCATTAGTATACAATATTGTACACAATTGTGTAGCATTCAGAGAACAGTGAAGGCTTTCTGGCATTTTTAGGGAAAACAGGGTGTCAGATCATGTGGTGGCACTCCCCTAGGAATTGTTAAAATTCTTGTGGAATAGATGAAGTGGCAAAGTGGGGGAGAAGTAGCTATTTAAAACTTGCTGCTGTTTTATATAGCATCATCTGTCTCATCTGGTACTCAAAGCTGCTTGGGTGTGTGGGTGAAACCTAAAGGGGTTGTGGAGCAGTTGCATCGTTCCCAGGGTGCTTTATATTTTATATAATAAAGATTTTGGTTGATGACTAAGATCCACAGAAAATACAGGTTCTGATCCTTGGTGTTAATTAACCACACCTTGTGTTTAATGCAGTCTTTTTATTGTGTGCCTGTTCACGGATCCTAATAAATATATACTTCCTAAGGTCTCTACAGGGCAGGCGGGATTTGTTCACTGCACTAATTGAGAAAATTCAGGCATGCTGCTCTTGAAGTGGCAACCTGAATGCACCATCATTACTCCTAAATATATGACTCAGTACATTTGGTTAGTCACTGCCTAGGACTCCATACCAAGGGTCTGAGTTTCCAATTTTCCCTCACAGGATGAATGACATCAAAGTTAATGGGACAATGTGAGTGATTAAAGCTTTTAGAGCTGGCTGCCCACATTCCTTGGCTTTTTTTGTCTTGCACTTGAGTCAGAATGATTGTGCTGATTTCCAGTCCTTCTAACTTCTTTTTAGGCATTTGTCCATGCAGATTACTTGTAAAAAAGAATACCAGCCTTCAGCAGGTTAGCCTGAGGCAAGCCATGTATCCCCACGACCTCCAACTCATACCATGGTTGTCAGCTCTGTGCTTGGTGTGAGTCTTAACACGAGGTGACTTGGGCAACTTGATACACAGGCGTACATGCCAGGGTGACATGCTTTCTCTCAGCAGGCGACTGCTTCTTGCCATTCAAACAAAACTCTGTGCTTTGTGTTTCAGGTGCGACCCAAACTGCCGCTTCTGAAGATTCTGCAGGCTGCAGGCGCCCAAGGTGAAACCTTCACACTGAAGGAGGTGGGCTCACTTTCTAGGCACTGAAACTATGCCTGTCCCTGGTTGTTTGGGAGATGGCTCTTTGTGGGGAAGGGGTGGGACTGGCTATGAATTTTTCCGTACTTCAAAACCCTGTCTGCCAAACAGGGATACCTGACCCTCAGGGCTGTTGTGATTTGATTGATCATAAATTGTCTTGAGAGCCCCCGGAAGAATTGGAATAGGAGTGTGAAATATTAAAGAAAATTATTTATCCTGGAAAATCAGGAACGTCTGTAGAGAAAGGAGAGATGCAATAGCCACATTCCTGAGAGAGTGTAGGAGATTCTGTTCAATTGTCTTGCTCTCTGCTCAGTGCATGAAAGCCTTAAAAATTGGATTCCAGTTGATATTTTTCTTTTAACTTTCCTTTGAAATGGCTTGTCAGCTAAACCTAAGAGACCCTGTGAATTCATTTATTTTAAGATTAAAATGCAATATGTGTACAAGATTAAAAAAATGACACTGACTGTGATTTACAAGAGTATCCTGTCTGCAAAGAATTAAATGCAGTGGTTTTTCATTATGAATGTGTCAAATATTCCTGCAGAGCCCTGTGACTTATTTTAAACACTTATGCATTTAAATAACTTATTTAGCTTCTAAAAATTTTTGCAAAAACAAATTGAATGGTTTAAATGGGGATAGTTGAGTATTAAATGCAGGTTACTTGTATAGATCAACATTTTAACTCAGCTAAGTCAGTTTTTTCTGCAGCGAATGGAGTACTGTTAGCAACTTTTTGGTGACCCTATCATTCAAGAGGGTCACTTTCATGGGTAATGGGAGGTGAAACCAGCCTATACTGTGCGTAATGTACTTTGCTTTCTCCTCTTGCACTCTGGATTCCTCGCTGTAGCTGGCAGTGTCCCCTAGCTCTCGGAGGATGTTTCCTCCCCGTCCTTCTTTGTGATACTAATGCACTTATTTGTGCATCTTGCAAACTGTGTCCTGAGGGACAGCACTGTAAATGTGGTTATTCTTTAGTAGTAGTTTATTCTATCAATTGGGGATACCTTCTGCCTCCTCCACACCTATTTCCTTCTCTTCTATACTCTGAGTTGAATAGCAGCAGTCTCCATCTGCAGCTCTCACTGAGGGACACTGCCCAGATAAAGGTGTTATCACCCATGTTGTGTTTTATTTTAACATGGGATAGCAGAGTGACTGCTCTTTGTCCATCTTCGACTCAGTTTTCTTTGTTGTCAAGGGTTAATAGTTAAAAACCTTACAGCAATATGGTAAAGCATAACTCTCCATTGGTTGGGAGGCATGGACGAATTGCAGATATGCATAAAAAGCAGGTACTATTTGACTCACACTATATAGGGTATCAGGAGGCAGGTATCATAAACTAAAGCAAATTTCCAGGGCCTTTGGTGGTTTGGTTTCAGTTGCTGATATGGCTAATGGTATGTCATGTATCCACAGGTTATGCATTACCTGGGACAGTATATAATGGTGAGGCAGCTATATGACAAAAGACAGCAGCACATGGTCTATTGTGGAGGAGATCAGCTGGGAGAACTGCTGGGACTGGAAAGCTTCTCTGTAAAAGATCCAAGGTAGGAAAAAGTCTCCTTTAACATCTGTTGTATTATAGAAGTTGCTGAGACAGGAGACTTGGTGTCACTGTTTCTGTTCACTGTTGCATACACCTCTGAATAGCAAGTGCCCTGCTCAGTGGCTTGTTGGTAATGCATTTGCTGTGTTTGAGTTGAACTCCTTTGTTCTGAAGAGCCAGTTCTGAATGGTCCAGGCAGTGAGCTGCTTGAGGTAACATCTTTTCCCCTTTTTATTTCTGCATCTTCTCAGGCCCTTGGTCTCACACTTAACCAAAAATCTGCATCCTTCAGTTAAGTTCTGAGCTAGACTTCTCTGTAGCAAGCATTTAGGAGTGGCAAAAAAACCCCACTGCAGTTTCCAGTGTCTGGCTAATAAAAGAGAATTTCTGTCCCTGGTTTAAAAGGGTAATGCTGTTTGGTTTTGTGAGTATACTCAGCTGTCATCTTCTTTCCCACAGCCCAGTCTATGACATGTTGAAACGGAACCTGACTTCTGCTGCAATGGCAGGTAGGTTTGTTACAGTATGGGCAAGTATATTCAATATAGTGTTGATGTAACTTGGGTAAGTAATGATATTCAGAAAAGAGAAATGTTTCTGAAGTTGGAACAAACGGCTAATGAAGGCTTTGACAAGACAATCTCTTTGAGTATGTGTCTTTTCTGTGTGTCCACCATCAGTAGCTGTGATATGAAATCAGTTGAGTAACGTGGCTGCCTATAACCAATGGCCAAACCTCGGAGCAGCAGACACACTCTGTCTGGAATCACGCTGACAGAGCTAAATACTATAGATGTACAAATCAACGTGGCTGAAGTATCCCATCCAAATTGTTATTGATTTCTCAGTCTTTTCTCGATTTCATAGCATGCTGTGATTTCTCGCTCTCACGTCATTTTATACTTTCATAGTCTTGAGACTGAATGTAAGAGTGCTGGAAACCCAGCCTAGTTCTGCAAGCCAAAGAGGTCTGGACTTTAATTGAACACTTGAACCTTTAAAGGTCACTGTTACTTTCCCAGCTCATAAGAGAAATCAAATCCATCTACATCAAAAGTCCTTCAGACATAAATTAAAATTTATTCTTAAATTAATCTCAGCTGATGGCTTCCTTGCAGCCAGTTCCCATTGTATGGCTGCTAATCTCCATTTGAAAAAAAACTTCTGATGAAACTACAAGTGTGTAAATGATGAGGGAGCTGCACCCGGAGAGTTGTGGAGTCTTGTGCTGCACTTCCTGGGGTCTCTAAGCAGATACATAAAAGCTTGTGCAAATTTAGAAACTGAGAAAACATGGCCCTAAACTGCTTAATACTCTGCTTTGAGCCATGTACTGGTGCCTCTGAGGTCCCCCTCCTTTCTCTATTTATGTAGAAGAAACTTCCTAAGTGGACTGTTGTCTGAACACGTTACCCACAGAATAACTGTGTGAGTGCTGTTTCCCTTGCTGGAGATGCCCTGGCCTCTTCTCTATAGGCAGTGTATGTGGAGAGCAAAGGATCCCAGCAAAACACTCTCTGCTCTGCTGCCCTGTCCCCTTCTACTTGGTGTGCACGTGTGGCTGGGTGTGTGTGTGTATGGTCCGGTCATGGTGTAACTATTTTTAAACCTGCCAAAGGAAATACTGTTCCTTTAGGGAGATGATCACTGAGTTATACCACCGTGTCTGCTTGTGTATGTGTGTGACTATAAAACGAAACAAGCTTGGCAGACCAGACCTTTGACAAATACATAGGAAGGATGGCTCTAGGTATTGTTCATAGCAACAGAGGAATAACTAGAAGTGCCATAGGTCTTAAAGAGGTCTTCATGTTTCATGTTTTGTAATAGCTGCTTGTATTCATTAGCCAAATCAATGCTTATCAGCACATCATTTTGCAGATTATCTCAGCCACTTCTTTTAAGTACACTTGTAGAAAGAAAAGTGACTGCAGTATATCTTGATAATAAAGACTAAGCTCTTACATAATGCTCTTTATCAGATGGTGTCCTTGCTTGGCTAGCTTTCACGCTAAGTGTGACCCTTACGAGGCGTGTTTAGGAATACCTCACTTTAAGGGCATTTTGTATAGTATATGTTGGCTTCAAAAAAGGAAGCCTTCCAATAAGTGGAGTACCTTTCACACAGTGTTTAAGGCTAGTTTGCATTATTTATAAAGTGTTAGAAGGGTAAGTCTTCACCTCTTCTAATGCCCCTGCAGAGGCAAAGCAATTATGGATGAGCCAATTGGCTTCTGTTTTCCTTCAAGTATTAAATAGTCACTGACTGCAGAAGCTGTAGGGTGGTGGCAGGGAAGAAAGGAAAGCTGAACTAATGCATGGAAGGCAAAGAATATGAGATAGAGCCATGCCATTTTGTGGTCCTGTTTTGGTCCATTTTATGGACCACTTTGTGGTCCACTTCTCTGTCTATAGTAGCAATTTTCAGTGTCTTAATATCAGTGCCATGATTCATGGTGTGAATTGGACTATTCATGTCTGCCTGGCATTCAGCAGGGAAGTTCTTTGCTAAATTTGAAAGCAGAGCAAGCAGGAGCCATCCTTGCATCTTTTTTTCTCTAGCAAGTGATTCTGTTTAAAGGGTAGACTTCCTAAGTGCAGCTCTGCTATTATATAGAAAGATTTCTCTTAATTTGATTGTTCTTGCTACTTAGGTTGGCCTTTTTAATTAACTCTTGGGGCCAGCATAATCATCTGGATTAAACTGTGTTACGGATGTGTACACAGTTACCCAGGAAAGAGCTTGCTGTGCATGGAATTTCCCCTTCTTTAGTCTAGTCATTGTTCTTCATGCCCACACCCTTTAAGAAAGGTGTTTTTCCCGTCTCAGCCTAATGAAAGAGATGGTGTCCTCAGGTATTTATGAAAATCTTACTCTTCTCTGTTCACCTTCAGCATGGATCTGATCCAGCCTTCAAGTGAGAGTCCTCATGCTCTGCTATTGCTCTGGGTTTCTGCCTCCATGATGACCTCTTGTGTAAAGGACCTAGAGCTTGCGATGACAGGACAGCCTGTAGGAAAAAGAGTAGTTTTTCACATTGGGAAGAAGGTTTTTACATGCTGTGAGGTTTCATCAAGCTTCATCTCCAAGGAGGCACAGACTCTGTATTCCATAAGCAGACACTTCGATGTGTACCTAGCAAAGCCTAGGGAATACTGGAGTAAAGCCTCTGTAGGAAACAGCCAGCTCTCTTAAGGAACAAAGGGCTCTTTTTCTCTTAAAGGGTTACTTAGAGGTCTGCCAAGCCTGGCTCGTTGGTTGCTTGCTGAAGACCCTCTGTGTTGTGAGAATGGTTATTACCAGGGAAGGTTTTTTCTTTTGTTTTACCTGCCATCTAGATGCTGCACAGAATCTCGCAAAGGAACAGAGCGTCGATAAGCCAAGCCAAGACCAGCTGAAGGTAAACCCACTGCCTGGTGGTTTCTTTTGTTGTACAGAGTGCCCCTTCTCTGTACCTGTGCATGGTGGACTGCCAGAACTTTGTGCTGCTTGGCTGCCAGGTCCTCACCTTCCTGAAAAGTTCTTGGAGTCCACAGAGCAGGGACAGAGTGACCCTTCTCTGTTCTCTTCATAACAGAGTACCAGTCTCTGAGCGCGTTTCTCTGGGGTGTAGCACTTCTAGTCCTCAGTTCCTCCAGCGTGCTCTGTATTTTCATGCCTTTCCCCCCTCTCTCCCATCCCCTCTCTGAGTAGGAATTGCCAAATAATTAAGCTTTCTAAAATGTGTGAACAAGTTTTGTGTTTAGTAGGATTGTTTTCAGAAGCTTTCAGGCAGAATCTGAAACCTAGGAAAAATCTTTGCACATTCAGACTTGTTTCCAGGTATATTTGGGGGTTAAGGTAGTCTGATCTGGGAGGTGTCTGTTCACATTGGGGCCAGAGAGTCACAAAGATCACAGTATTACTGCATTAAAGATGGCAACTTTTGGACTTTTGCCAATTTTAAGATTTTTCCTGGGTTACAAGTGTATCGTTTGTGCTCATTACAGATTCATTAGCCTTCTTAAAGGGTTAATAGTGTGTAGTTTTTGTTCAGAAACTTTTATTTCTCTTCATAGCTTTTTGGTCTTGTACTGCAGCTGGTGACTTGGAATGGAAGTGCTACATCCCCTTGTCCCTATAAGCTCTGATGGACTAACATCTGTTTTTTCCTTCATGCAGTTTAGCCGGCAAGAAGGTTCTGACACTGGCATCATGGAGGGTGAAAACAATGCTTCTGCTTTGTCTACCTCGGAGCAAAAATGTGAGAATTATGAAGGTGAGTGCCAGCTTTTCTGCAGTAACTCAATGTGTACAAGCTCTTCTGCTCCTTCTCTAGTGTGACACGTTGAGCTCTGCATCAGCAAAATGCTGGAGGAGGGTGTTGGGAGACTAATAAAAACGTGTTGTGGAATATAATCTTTAAAAATCATCGTTTTATGCTAAAGATTGAGAGAACTGCAAATGTTCGCCAAAGGTATTTTATGATAGACGTGTTTTCTAGCTTGGATATTTGGTCTCATAAATAAACAAACACTTTGAATAAAATGGCAGGTTAAGCCCCAAAAGCACATCTATCACTAAACAATACTATGAAAAATCTTACAGACCTTGCTGAAGGGTATTTTAAATGCTGAAATTACACTTTGTATCTATTTATCTTCCCAAGGGACTCTCTCCTCTGATTACATAGAACACAGCCTGAGCCGTCTGCAGTCATTACCTGCAAACCAATCAGGGAACTGAATAACAACGGAATTTTTTTTCTATCCAGCTTAAGTGTAATACAGCTCCTTCATATTTAGACATTTCCTTTGTTTTAATGTCTGGGGATTTCTTGCTGGTTCACTCATATGGATTTCTGATGTTATGGAAGCAATTTTCCTGTTTTTCTACTTTCTATTCTCACGTCGTTCTCATATCAAGGAACCTAATTTGTAAAACCAAATCTTCTCCGCAAGTGTGGGTATTTCCAGATCAAATGAGAGTGGTAGATATTTTCCTGGCTGCATGTACAAAAGAGGTAGAAACAGTCCTTGCGTGTGCCTTTGAAACTTTTGGCACTGAAGAGAGATAGATTCAAGGTTATCTTGAAATTCAGACTGCTGAATTTAGGATCATAGACTAAACTGCACAGGCTAAGAAGAAGGCTGAAGCATGGGGTTATGGAGAATGGATTCTTACCTGCCTGCTTCCTATTTTGAGCCTGGTTTCAGAATTCAGGAGCTCCCATCACTGGAAATTTGAACTAAATTCAAACCAGTTCTTTCTGCATCTTAAGTCACTTAAGAAATCTACTCAGTGTTGACTTGGTTAGAGCTCTAAATAAGTGTTCATGTTTCTGTATAGAGTCTTAAAAGTAAGGTAAAGCTAAAGAGAACCTGTACTGTTATAGAGACACTGGGAACACTGGGATGTTCCTCTGTCCTCTGATGGCTGTGCAGTGACTATTTTGTCAGGTTCACTTGGGTAGATATATGAGTACAGATGTGTGGCAGATCTAACATCCCAGTATGCTCATACAAACCCCAAAGCTCTTAGCAGTAACTGGCTGTAAGAAGGAGCAAGAAAGATTTCTAAAATTGGATGGGGCCAAATTTTTCTCTGCTAGTCTCTTAAATAATGTAGGTGTGGCATGACTTAGATTCTACTTGGCTCTTACAGACAAAGACTTAATAGAAAACCTCTCTAAAAGCAAGAAGCCTAAACTGGACCTAGTGTTTGAGGAATGGGATGTAGCTGGTCTTCCATGGTGGTTTTTAGGCAACCTCAGAAGCAATTACAAGTCCAGAAGTAATGGATCAACAGATATTCAGACTAACCAGGTGTGTAGACGTTTTAAATAGGTGCACTGTATTCTCTTCCTCTCCTCTTTTGGGTTCCAAGTAAATAAAATATTCTTGTTCTTTCCCCTTCCCACTCCAGGATTTTCAGCCTCTCCCTTGTGTGTTCCTGTCCCAGCCTTTCACATCAGGTGGTTGGTTACCTTTAGTGTTCTTAAATAAACTAGGCACTCTCTGAAGGCTGTGTTCAGCCATTGGAGGTCCTTCTGCACTCCAGAGCATTGGTTGCATTTCAGGAGTTGCCCCTCTTCTGGGTTGAAAGTTGTTACACGGTGCAGATGGCTGTAGCGTGGTGGCCAGCTGCTGTATGGCCAGCTAGCAAGGGGAGTGAGCATAGTGCTGCTTGCAAAAAGGGGTCTCTGTGAGAGTAGTGAGCTACCCCTTTCTCTCCCAGGGGTGACTGGAGAAGCTGCCCAGGGCTGAGCAGGCTGCTAGTGAGGAAGAGGGGAAAGGCATTTGCTGTGGTGATGGCTGCGGTGCTGGTACTCCTGCTGCTGGTAACCTGAGCTCTAAGTGGTCTCTCCTGTTTCTTTTCCAACAGGACATAGACACTGCCGTTGTTTCAGATACTACTGATGACTTGTGGTTCCTCAACGAATGCCCGTCGGATCAGAGCAGTGCTGCAGTCAAGGTGGAAACGGTTGACTGCGAGGAAGTGAAAGAAGGTGGCAAAAAGGTACCTCTTCAAACAGCCACAGTGCGTGTGTTCCACAGGTTGGCCTTGTTTAATTGATCTCACGGTGCTGTGCTGATTTTGGAGGAGCTAGATCTATAACCATCCAGAGTTTAAACTGTGTTTAGAAAAGGCTGTCATGATTCCACATATGGGGTGATGGCTTTCCTGTGTGGTCAGTCTACTTGGGTTTTGGTTTAAATACATGTATTTTCAATAATCTAAAATTAATTGAAACTCTAGCAGCAACTTTACTATACCTGCAAGACTAATAAATGAAAAGACTTGAAGAGGAAAATCTCAGTTTATGTTGTGTTAGCATTCAGTGTAAGATAGGCTGGCCTGAGTCTGCTAGCTGAGGTGCTAGTGAGATTGGTCACAGGTAACTAATCAAATGAGTGTTAAAAGGATTGAGTTCATGACTTCTTCCATGGAAATTAGTAGGATCACTCAGGTGTGTGTATGTTTGTATTTGTATGATTCTTATGTGCATCAGAGAGAGGTATGAATTGACCACCAGCAAATACGACTGTAAACTAGCCCAGCAACAGTTATCAACATTCTGGAATAGATAACTGTACATAAAATGGCTTTTCATTCACTTATAGAAATGACATAATTATCATGGCAATTATATAGTCAGTTTAGTTTTGGTGTACAGTGCCAGGCACATCATAAGTAGAGTTTATTGCGCCCTCTAACAACATTTCCACTCTTTCCAGGTGACCGAAGATGCATGTTTGCATGACTTTGAGGATTCTCAATGCTTAAGTGATGACACAGATACAGAAGCTGCTTCTGAGGTAGGCATCCTTTAGGTCAGCGTTCCTTGCTTGGAGTGTGCTCCATCCTAGCTGTAGTTGGAAAAACTCGTCCTACAGCTGCTACTGGTTGTGGTAGGAGAAGCCGATTCTTGTATGGGTTTCAAAGGCCAAAAAAAGCAAAAAATCAAGCCAAAAAGGCTTTTTTGTAACCTGTGTGAAGAAATGTAGAGAAATTGGCTTGACCTGGTCTGGTTTGTTTTGGATAGGGCTCTGTTAAATTCTAAACTGGATAGGCATTGAGCACTGGCAACCCCTGAATGCTCTGACCTACCCAGTTCAAAGACACCAAGTGTCTCTCCCACCACAGAGCAGTTCTGGAACTTATGTAGTTTCAGCCACTTTTTGTGGCAATGTGAGGGAATTTATATGTGCTCTAGCTAAGAGGGGTTTTTTTTGACTAGGAGATTAGGCTGCTTGTTTCCACATTATTCGTCCCTTTTGTACCAGGGTAATGTAGTGTCAGCATGGGCAGCTGCTGGCTTTTTACTAATGATGTAACTTGTCCCTTCACACACCCGGGAAGTGAATGAAGATTAGGCCCTCAGTTTCCAGCATGGTCAGTCTTAATGCTATATGAAGTTAGTATTAACAATATCCATGCATGTTTTAATTAGGTTAATTCTGATGTCCTCTGAAAGGAAATCTGGAGTATAGTGCTTGGCAGAGATTGAGAAATCTAAAGCAGGCACTTTGTTATCACCAAAGTGAAGTGCGCATACTCAAAAAAAGCTTGTTAGTGGAAATTTCTGTGTCAAGATCAGGGTTCCACTGAGTCTTTGGTGTCCAGGCCAGCTCTGAAGCTGTCACTTGTTTTGTGGTAGTCTCTGGGATGAGAAGAGTATCCACTTCTCAACTTGCTCCATTTTTCTGAGATACTTGTATGGCCTTCGTCAGGAGGAGAGCCTGCGTACCTGCTGCTGTAATGTCTTTGCCCTTGCAGTGACTCTCTAAGGACAGACCACAGCTCTTCACCTGTTTAAATAAAAAAAAAAACCAAGATGGAAAGAGAGAATAAGCAGTAATTACTGGGTTGTCACCCCTCCCCACTACCCCATTCCTCTTCCAAATTCCCTCATGATAGATACTGAGGGACATCAAATTTGTGTTCTTTCATCTGTGCTTTTTTTCCTCCCAGTCCTGCAGGCTGCCTTTTGAGGTTTTGTTGTAAGTCAGCAAAAGTGTATCATGATCCTCTTTGCAGCTGATGGCACCAAAATTTTTTAGCATCATTTTCTAGGCTGTGCATGCTTGACAAATTAGGATGTCCCTGTCATTGGACAGCTGAATTATAGTTCTGAACTTTGGCAGCTCTTGCCCTTGCTATGTGGGGTAATCAAGTAAGCTGCTATTAGTTGTGCAGATTCAACAGATGCTAAGTGATTAGTGAGTCTGGGAAATATATTCCTGACTGATTGCAGGAGCTCTACCCTTGAATTTAGAGTGAGATACTGAAAAATTCAATGAACTGCACAGCTTGAGAACATTGTATTCTTCCAGAGTGCTGAAGGCTGGAAGGAAGGAAGGACAGATTTTAATGCTTAAGAGATCTGCATCTGTAGAATGCACAGGGGTAGTCAAATTCTCTTTAGGCTTTCTGAGGTGCTGATGATCAAACTAGCAATCATGCATTCGCAAACTTATACTTGGTAATAAATGTCCTTTTTTGATGAAGCTTCTTTGCTGCATTTCCTATGTAGTGGAAACAAGTCGTACGTAAGAATACACTAACTTGCTGCTGTTTTTGTCTGCCTCAATCATTCCTCAGGACTGCTGGCAATGCACCAAATGCAAGAAATTTAACTCTCCAGGCAAACGGTACTGTTACCGCTGCTGGGCCTTACGGAAAGACTGGTACTCAGATTGTCCCAAACTGGCTCATTCTCTTTCTCTGTCCAACATTGATGCTATGCAGAACAAAAATAATGATGAAGGGATAGATGTCCCGGACTGCCGAAGGACTATTTCTGCTCCAGTTGGCCAACCCAAAGACCTGTACATGGTAGAAAACAAATCATGTGTAGATCCCTGCAGCTCTATTGAGTCTTTGGATTTGGCACGAGAGTGTGAAAGCAAGGAGTCTCTGTTGCATTTCACTGAGCGTAAAAAGGAGGAAGAAATACAGTCCTTAGAGAGTATAAAAAAATTACTGAACCCTTGCTTCTTATGCCATCACAGACCACGGGATGGGAATATTGTCCATGGAAGGACTGCTCACCTTGTGGCCTGTTTCAAGTGTGCAAAGATGCTGAAGAAAAAGAGATCACCTTGCCCAGTGTGCAGGAAAGAGATTGAGATGGTGATCAGGATCTTTATGGGGTAGTTGTGCCAGTGTAGGCCTTCTCCACCAAAAGATAGCACACGGGTTTTTTTGCACTCACACAAACCCTAACTTCAGAGCTCGGCCAGTGAATACCAAAGAATTTAGATTCAATCTGACCAAGAATACTGAGGAATCCTCTGCATTAAATGAAGCATCATCCACTTTTCGATGTCCATTTAAATTAAAGCCCCTAGGGAGCAGGGAGTGACTGGCACATTGGTATCAATGCCCCAGCTTTAAAATTGTCTAAATCTTCTAATTTCAGCTCAGTGGTGTCACTAGGATTCTCTGTTCTGACAACTGGTCCTTGAAGAAAATGAGTTTTGGAAAGAGTTATACTTTGGCTGTTGGAGCATTGTTCTCCAGTAAGTCAAACCCTGTGCAATGCCTTTTAAGGGGGAGTCTGCATCTGAGATACATATATGCAGGGATGGGAAAGGAGGTGGGAGGGAAGGGTAGACCAAGGTGTTTGCAATTTAGATAAGCCATTTCTCCAAGGATCAGTTTGCCTGAGGGCAGTGAGAAGTAAATAACCTGGTTTCTGATTTTTTTGTTTGTTTGTTTAACGTAGGTTTGTTAGATAAGGTGAAGGTCCTCTTGCTCCCAGACTTGAAATAAGTCCTCCCAAACGTTTAATCTGTAGCTATCTCAGGTCACATGGCAAAAGAATAGGGAGTTATACTTTGCTTTGTTATTGGAGCTTTTAATTTTTAGTGATTCTTTTTTTCATTTAAATACAGTTCTATGTCCTCTTGCATAGCTCTGTTGAAGCCTGTCCAATGCTAGCTCAGAATCTGGTCTGCCAGCTGTATTAAATTATAACAGCTCTGTGCATGTTTTGGGATGTTCTCATAGCTCTGTGCTTACAGCACCATTGCAGCTTCTACCTGCCTCATCTCATCAGGCCAGTCTAGATAGAAGATGCTCATTTTAGAGTGCAGTGTGGCTTTAACAACAGGATATGGGCCACTGAGGGGAAAAAAAATAATTCCTGTAAAGCACCAGTTGCAGCTGGTTAGTCTATGGGCTGTGCGTGGTGTTAGTTTTTTTAATTTTTCTCCACTGATTTTCTTTCCCTGTCATTTCATGCTTCAGATCTGTTTGCAGCATTTACGTTGTCCTTCAGAGCTATGCATGGTTGCTCTATGGGCTGTTAAAAAACAACTCAGCTAGAACTTGCAGTTTAAAAATGTCTAGCCCTTTTCTGAGCTTATATCCTAGAGTATGCTCAGATCTTCCTCAGCCTTCCTGTTCTCCAGGACTTTGGAGGGCCTGCATCATGCAACAGTAGCTATAGTGCCTTCACCTTTCAGGTATACAGGCATCTGAATTCAGTACAGTGTGTAGAATAAACCCGGTTTTGTCATCTTCTCTATAATTCCCTCTCTAATCTAGGAAGTACACCTGAAGACAAAAAAAGAGAAGATAGCGCTCATACCTTGGTGCTTCTCTAGGCTGTTTCCACCTTGTTTTCCACACTCCTTGTGCTGGTCCAGCTACAGCAGGTCAGGCATGCAGTGGAAGGCCCCAGAACCTGCCCAGTAGAAGGTCCCAGCAAACTGCGATGTCAAAGTTGTTGTTTCTCTGCAAAGATATCAGAGTAGGTGCTATATGCAGTCTCTGCCTACCACTGCCAAAAGACAGGTCCACTTTATATTTTGCATAGTATTGTGATTATTTCTATGTTGGCTATTATTTAGACTATTGTTGGCTGTTATTTACAGTTGTATTTGAAAAATCGGAGGATAACCGTCTGATGTTTTGGTGCACTATCTATAAGTCCATGGGAATCAATCCACATGGAGAAGCTGACTTACTGCTCCCTTAACTGAAGGGCTGTTAAATTGCTGGTGATGCACTTTAATCATGCTAAGATCAGCAGCGTTACCGCCTGGAATCACCAAAGGGAGTTCCTGCCAGTTAGTTTCTTCCCTTTTCAGGTAGTTTCTTTCCTTTTAAGGGTCTCGGGCTCAGCAGGGTGCGTTGTGGCACTTTGTGGCACTTCTGAATACTGTGAATTCCCCCTCATCCCGATTGCTTCTGAGAACTAAATGTTTTGCTAAAAAGCAGTTTTACTGAATTGTTCAGATCTGGCCGCACTGAAAAAATGTAATTTGTGTTGACCAAAAAAAAAAAGTCAGGAGAGTTTAAGTTCCAGTAATGGGGTTGAATATTGCTACCAAAATCCTACTGAGATCTGTATGCAGCTTCCATTATTAAATGAAAATTGTTGTCAGTGTGGCAGTTTGTGATAAAAAGCGAATCTGCAGGATAACTTTGAGTGTAACTATCTTTGTATCTGTGAATTCTTGTGCAGTATAACCATAGTGTTTACACATGCATTTGTCAAGTTCTTAATTCTTTTTAGCAGAAATAGTTAGTGGACATAAGGTATCACAATGTTACAGTTGATTTTCCTTCCCATAGAAGTATAAGCTATTGCAGTGCAAGCACCATGTGTGTAGCTGTAACTGTCCAGTTGTGGCTGAGGCTTGGGGGGGGGGGGGAGTTCTAGTGCAGGACAAGGCAAGAAGAATGTTTTACTGCTTTAACTTAAGTCTAAGTCTAAAGAAGTAGCAATTTACCAAGAACTGCTCTTCTGACACTTTGTAGGAAGTGCAGACTTGAGGTATGGGTTGAAGAACTAGCTCAGAGCACTCAGCTACAATACTTAACGTTGCAGTGCAGATGAGATATTGGCCAGGCGGTGTTATTACTTTCCTCTTCTACAGATGTGGCAGTTAATGTGGAGTCCTAATTCAGAAACCCATTTTTTGGAGGAGCTAAGCATTTACCTGAGATGGGTATGAACTCGGGTTCTCTGAATACGTTATTGGTGTCTCATAGTGGATGACAGTTCTTCTCTCTTACAGTGGTTTTAGTATGAAGTGCAATATGAGAGAAGAGGTCCTTGGTAATCTTTAGCAGTCATTGCTGCACATCTGTTAGAGGAAGTGTTGAGTGCAGCTGTCTTTCGATGCCCAGACTAAAAAAGTTTATCTGTTTCACTGCTTTTTTTCTTCAGTGACATTGGTTGCTGTTCCGCAGGAATCTGCTAAAGTCTCAAAGGCACAAGTGTACCTGTAGGTCAGGTTTCATTAGTAGATCCTTCTGCTTTTCCGCCAGAAGTTTTGGCACTAGTTATCCCCAGAACCAGCAGATTTCTTACTTTAGTGGGTATTTAAATACTGTATAGTGCCGTTCAGCACATTATAGTGCTCTGCAGTGTGAAACCATATGTATATGTTAACTCTCTGTATTGGCAGCCAGAGGTACAGACATTGCATTTACTCCTGAAAGTCTTTCCAGTTTAAGTGCCTCTTCTCAGTTACTCTCAGTGACTCTGTTTACTGACACACACAGCACATCAGCCTTTTCTTCAGCTCTCTCTTCAAAAATCTCAGCGTCCCTCCTCTGCTGAGATGTATTATCGAGCCAATTTAGCCTAAACAAAGCCGCTACATGAATTACAAAGATCCTTTGGAGCACCTCCCCAGAGTGGTTATTTCTTCTGAATGGTGGGTGTTGCCAAAGACAGCTATGAACTTTCTGCCTGTGCTGCGTATTTATTACGGTGCGTGACTGTGATGGAAACCATAATGCAGCTTGCCAGGGTCTGCTCCATCCTTCTGTATCCAACATAGATTGTATCTGATACCGAGAAGCTGTCCTTGCAGAGAAAAAAGTGGCTGTTGGACAAATGGAAGTGGAAATGGAGTGGAAACTGAGTGTCTCAAAACCCATCAGGGTAGCTTCCTTTTGCCTGCTCACACTCTGCCTGTTCTGAGCTTCATCTTCCAGTCCTGGAAGAAAAAACAAAATGGTCTCACTAGAGGCCTTCACTGACGTCTGACCGTTTTGGAAGATAACATGATTAAGTGATTGAAGGAAGAGCCGGGGCACTGGTCTCCATTCTGTCTGTCCATAACCTGAGCAAGGAACTCCTTGAGTCCTGTGCATGCTCTTCGGCCACCTGTACATTGGCAAGCAGCATCAGGATTCTTGAAAAGGAGATACTGTGAGGCCATTCTATCAAGAGCAAGAATGAGACCCACAAATGATATGGGGGTGATAAACTGTGTTTGGAACAGCTCTGGAAGCACAGATGACCTTTGGACAGCAGCTTTTCTGCTCTGGAAATCCTTCTTCAGTTATCTGTCCACAGTGACAGGAATTTCCCTTTGAAAACAGGTGAGACCCTGCTTGCGACTACACGGTAGTGTCTGCCCAGCAGAACAGTCACCTGCCACTAGCTGGGTTACACATCCCATCACCTTGCTCTCTGCACCTTATTATGATTAATACAGGCAGCTGTTGTGATTGCAGTCCTGTTTTTCTGTGCTATTTTACCCTGGCAATGTGCACTTGCTGCTCACACATCTGTGGGGATGTCCCATGCCTGCTGTGCTGAGCAGGTGCTTCAAGAAGATGCAGCCCACTGAACTCGGCAGTTATCTTCAGAATCTCCGACTCCTAGAAGGCATAATCACATCTGAGGATCAGTCTGAGAAGATACTTGAAGAAGGCAGGAACGTGTACCTCTGGCAAAGATAAAGACTTGCTGTTCTGGAAAGAGTGATTTCCTGCTGGATCTCCCCAGCACCCTTCCCTGCAGCCTGTTGTTCCCAGATATATTTTTCTTGTTTAGAAAAACTCCATGTCTCAACATACACCCACTCAGTCACTGCAGTAACAAGCAGGAGTGCTCGCTAAACAACATCTGTGTGTTTGCACTATTTAAAAAAAAGCCACGTATCGCAAAACTGATGACCTGTTTTTGTGTCCTGCGCATAATGAATTTAATTAAATTGAGTGCGTTCTATGATAACGTAGGTTTATTTTTTCATTTGTACTGCGTTTCGGGGAAAACCTTTCAAGTAAAGGCCTGTTACCAGCTAAGCAGCCTGTGATCTTCCTCTGTGTCTGTTTCCAGGGCGGGAGAGACCTCCCATCCCTCCCAGGATGGGTCTGCCTGGCAGTTGGGAGGGGAGGCTGTAGCATGAATGTATGCATTTGCAAAAGCCAGCAGGAATGGCAGCAGGGGAACAGCTTAGGCTTCATCTCCTGAGCCAGCTGAAAAAGTACTTGCTGTGTTGTTTTTAAGCTGGTTCCCCAGTTCCATTGCCACCAACAGCTGTAGCCACTCCAGGTTCCCAGGAGGTACAACCACCACATCATTTGCTTGTGGTAGTGCCAGGAGGTTACTTAGCCCTTCTCCAGCTGTTTTTAATGCTGTTTGTTTTGCATTTGGGATGGAAGCAGTCCTGGCAAAGGCAGCATGCAGCCCCTGCACCCCAGCGTGCGGAGCTCCCCGGGCAGGCGGCTCACTAGAGGGCACCCGCCGGCTGTGCATGGCACGGAGCAGGGATGCTGGCAGTTTCCTTGCAGCTCTCATCTCCTTGCCTCCAGGCTGTACAGACCCAGCATTTACAGCTGGCATAAATAGTTAGCGCTGAGGGATGCGAGTCCCATGGTTGGGGTTTGGCTTTCCTTATTTGCCTCTTGGTTTACGGTGCTGGTGGAGACCAGCGGGCTGCATGTAATCAGGAGGAAGACGTCTGAGCACGCTCTGCTTTTTTGTGCTGTAAACTAGCCCCACATATGCCCAGCAGTGATTTATCACTAGTTGCTTGCCAAGGATGAGATGCTGCTTCGTAATGAAGAGCATCTTGATTGCTTTGTAGGAAAACAATAAAACTCCACCTGTGGCATTGAACAGGAGAACCAGAGCTGGTTCCCCCATCGCTGACACGAGGATACTTGCTGGCAGAGGGCAGAGTTGGTTGTATTTATGCTCCTGCCCAGCTGCCCCTGCTTGTTCCCTGTTCCCTGCCTGTGTTTCTACGAGCAGCTTTAGGTAGGGCTGGTGTCCAGGATCACCCATTGGCAGACAGCTGGGTTGCACCCAGCAGCCGTTTCCATTCTGTCCTGCAGCAGCTATAAGAGCAGCAATTAGACTTGCTGGTAACCTCTGCCAATCTTAAGCCTGCAGGGAAGTTTCTGGCTCTGCCCGCACAGTCCTCTTGTCTGTGTGACCTTTTCTCGCACCCTGCCAACAAAACCAACCTGTCCCAACGTGCTCTAAAGCACAGGAGCTGCATAAAGTAGAGCATCTGCATCCGTCCTGTTTGCCAGGGGCTGTGTTGTGCTGAGATCCCCCA